ATCTAAAAAATTAATACAAAAGCTACATAAGTAATTTGTTCAAATCATAACAGAAAACTTACCCAAGTAAAATTATATTTTAAATCTAACAATATATTTTTAAATAAGTACATTATAGTGAAGGAAGAAATCTTTTTTAAAAGAGGAAAGTAAATTAAATCTTCTAAATAAAATATTAGCAATATTAGATATTTTCATGACATATTTCTCCTTAAAGTTGAGACAAGATGAATATTGATTATAAGCATAAACAAAACAACTTCATAAATAACATGAAGAGGGAAAAATCTTCGTCTGTGAATTACACACAAAGAAACAGAGCCAAGTCCTTTAGTAATAAAGTCCTCCTTGATTCCAACTATCCAAAAAGAAAGCCGGCTATTCCAAAAACCTTCTAGAAAAGGATGGTCTAGAATCATCACTGTCAAAATATTTCACCAAAGTATAAATGCAACAAAAAAACAGAACAAGAGAGTGACAGAGCATGAGAGAGTGAGAGAGATCTCGATGAATTGTGTGAGAAAGAAACAGAGACAGCTAAAGAGCTGAAATCAGAATATGCCATAGGTGAATAGCAAAGGAGAAAATCTACACATGACTGCAAGATACTGTTGCCTTGTTTCCTCCACCCTGCTCACTTCATTTAGGCAGATTTAGTCGCCAAATTAATCCCTAAATTATTTACATACAGTCACATGTCATAAGTTTCCAAAAACATCATTCTCACAAATTTAGAGGATTAACTGCTACAAGAAGTCTTATAAGATTTTTTTTTACTTCAGGATAACTTTTTAAAATATAATAGAATCAAAATATTTTAATGTCCTCTTTTTAAAAGGATTTTAAAGTATCCAAACATGATTATTATGATTACGTGTTTAGTGCACAGGCAAAAACATTCTTGAGTGAACACAGGAAAGATAAGAAAATATTGCCCTTGGATAACTCAGAGTTTTCAGGAGTAAGGAGTTACTTAGTCATCTAAACAGCATATTTAATACAAACACATATCTGAATTCTTTTAATATAAAACATATATACTATTTAAACACAACATTAAGAAGTATTCTCTATTAAAGCAGAATTACAAGCTTAAAAGCCCACAACTCCACTTCTGACACAGCTGCAGATGCAGAGAACAGTCATCTACAACCCAGATAAAAGTGAAAACCAAGCTCTCCACGGCGTAAGTATAACTGAGAAGGAGGGCAAAGGCATGAGAACAACGGAGACTTCAGGAATACCCACAGAAGAAAGCTAAGCCAGAAACATAACAAAGGCGGCACAGTCAGCCAGGAAGGGATCTGGGAAGAAGGATGCCATGAAAACCAAGAGAGAAAAGGACTTCAAGAAAAAGCCAGCAAAGGCAGAGGCTAAAGTGAGATCAAAGAGGATGAAGATAAATCAAAACCACAGCAGAAAGTGAATGGCCATATTGAATTGGTTAAGATTACCTATTTCCATCTCAACTGACAGAACTAAGTTTATCTTTGGGGGAGGTGGGGAAGGGGAATGGACACTTGGAGGAAAACAGACTTTAGTTATCATTCTTGCTGTTTGTAGTCCAAGACCAACAAAAGAGGAACTCTTTTCTGAATGATTTTTTTCTTAAGGACTACACTCACCAAACTGTGGAGCAGGCAAGATTCTAGCTGCTCGAATTGGGCCATGTCGAACAGAGAAGAGCTCCTGTGCTTCCCCACTGATCTGCATAAAAGAAGAAAGAAAATATTTCAGTGGGAAAATGCAGGTCACAACAGTATTATATAGAAACAAGATCTTCTAAATTTTATAACAATATTTTGTCTGAAATATATATACATACATATACACATACACCCACACACATTTATTGTTGATCATACACATTAAGTATATTCACATCTTAAATTACTGCAAATAATTTTAGAAAACTGTAAGAACATACACTTGATATGAACAGAAGAAAAAAGGTCTGTTCTGGAAGTCTATAATTTTTATCTTATTAAACCATTAGAAATTTGTACAGTTCCTGCACAACTGCTTTCTCTTTGAGAACCAAACTTTAATACTACTATGAAAATCTCAAATATTGTATCAACTTTAACAAATATATTGTAAATGAGAAAAAGCAATACATACTGCAAAGAAGACTTAAGTGAAATATGAATAAATTAGGTATACTTATGGTTAGGCAACTAATTGTCCGTTAACCTTGAGTAAATCATTTAACCTCAGTAAGCCTATATTCTTTGGCAATCATAAAATGAAAAGAAAAACCTGCTAAAAAGGCCTCCAGGATACTTCTAATTTCAATATTCCGTGAACAAAAAATTGTGTATATAACTTTAAAAGTCATCATTTTATTAGACACATAAATAAACAGATAGCTTAAACACTGTATGAATATCCAAGTATTTTGAGTCATTCACTCTATTATTTCAAATGGTAAAGGGTATGTTCAGGACATTTTTGGGGGGATAAAATTTTTTTAAAAAGAAGAATAAAAGGTAAAGGGGCATGGTAATATGTGTCAAGTATGAAAACAACTGCTTTTCAAACTGCTGATTGAAGCACTGAGCAGATTAAATTATAGTTAAGAATAGCTTTCCTATTTCCATCTCAACTGACGGAACTAAGGGTTTATCTCTGGGGGAGCTGAGGGAGTGGAACGGACAGATTAAATTACTGTACATGGTTCTGTAGTTCTTAAAACATTTTCATAATTGCCTAGTGTTTGATGAAATATGCAATATCAGAGAAAACGGCAAACATTATAAAACTAGTTCGAGATACAAAAGAACTTACAACCAATGTAATAAAGATATAAATTCAATAGAGGAAACATACTGATGTTATTTTTTTTAATAGGCCTGCCATACAATCAGTTTAAAATATCAAAGATGTATATATTATAAAGTAAAAAGTGTATAAATCTTACAATATTACTATAAATCTCCAGAGCTTTTAGAGTGACTACTTTTTAGATTTTTCAGTTTCTATCTGAATTTAAGAGCTGCAA